TGTCGTTTGCATGACGTCACTTCCGGTGTGACATGACGTCACTTCCGGCTACACGTAATCTATGTTTACAGCCGTCAGAATGTATAGAATAAAAAGTCATGAATGAGAATATGAGGAGGAAAGGCTTGTGGTGTTACACATTAAACACACAACGTCTAAATCTTCTTATTTTATGCGAAATGAATCCAGAGAAACGAAGGGGAGGAAGACCCGCCCATCGTCGAAGCAGCCAATGAGAAGAGGAGCCAGGAATCGGATATACACTTGTTTCAAAACCACGTTACTTAAAGTGGACCTATCATGCTATATTTGAATAATATATTGTAGGGCCATACCTATATAAGGTATATTTATACATTTTCTTTTTCAAAATACCAAACAGATCATGCATTTTAGCCATGCCTCATTTCGCTCTATTTTGCTCTCCTCCACCCTGTCTTTGCATGCGCTGCAGCTGACCACGCCCCCCTGCAAAGGAGGGGGCCGAGTTACGAGCGTCGTGTTACCATGCTGTTACCATGCCACGGCAACCTCTCATTCCCCTGATAGGTCAGCTCCTCCGTCCTGACGTCAGAGAAATGTTCAAATCTGGATCAGTCTGTATCAGATCCGTTGCAGCCCCGTTTTTAGAGATTTGGGTATGGAGGAAAAGAGAGAGGGTTGTTTTTTCTGACACTTGGTGAGTTCCCTGGAACACCGGGGACACATATTCATGTATAAAAGACGTACAAAAGTGCATTTTGCATGATAGGTCCCCTTTAATTAAATTACTCATTTTAACTTTTCCGAGACTCCAATTGTCTCTTTTTAACTTCCTCCTGGACTCGGGAACAACAAACACGATCTACACTGCCACCCGAAGTCCCCGGCCGGAAGTCCCTGGAGTTGAACGCCGACACCTCCTCATCACTCCACCGCTCCCATGTTTTTTTTTGTGTTGCCATAAGTTAGTCTCTCTCTGTTGGTGCACTGGGCTAATGCTAATGCTAATAATGCTAATGCCAGCAAATACAATGGCGGCTCCACAAAACTTTTCAGAGTTTTACGGGGCGTACCTGCTCTCGTAAAAGTTCTCATGAACTAAGTTCTCTTTTTGGTGTGAACGCAAAATCCCAGGAACTATCGGAACTAAAAGGGAAAAGTACGGGGAAAAGTACTCTGGTGTGAAAGCGCCTAATATCTCTATGGAGTCAGACACTGGAAGTTTGCTGGAGACTAATGCGTTGACTGGGACTGATGGAATGATGAGACTGAGGAATCTGCGAGGAACGAACTAGGGGCTGAGAAATAATCATATATTAAAAGACAACAGCATCATAAGAGGCCAACCAGAGTGACAGAGTGTGTCACTTTGCTGAAGGATAGGCCAGGGTTGCAGTCGAATAGTCCATTTTGCTTAGGAACCTTCCTAACGGAGTGAAATGACCCGGAAGTACGTCAGTGGCAGCCATGATAAGTGCCGTTCGAATTCTCTAAAATGATAGGAAAGGAGGTTTCAAACTTCCTTTATAACCTCCTTTAGCTTAGGAACCACTGTACCTCCCTTTACGAAAGGAGAGGAGAAAATGCTGCCCCACAATGCCTTGCGGCCGCAGCATTTGCCGTCACACAACAGTCGGCCGTTCACGGAAACAACCGATTATGACCGAGAAATGATATCATGAAAGTTACAGTGCTTATTAAGCATTTTATAACGTATGTGGTAACTTGCCAAAGTGCTTTGTTTTTAACGTTCATCAGTATTATAATCAAAAAGAGAAATATGAACGTTAGTTTTTTACTGAAATGATCAAATAAAGTCAACATTTCACAGTCTTTACTGAGCTGTGTGGGGTTTGTTCAACTTTTAAAAGATGTTTGAATGGTGATATACACAGTGATAGATGTTAAGGACTAATAAGTTTCACTTTCCTTTTTTATTTGAATTCCAACTTTGGTCATGAAGAATATGTTTCTCTGTTGTCCACGTTCATAAAGCATAAAACAACAGCATCAGAGCACGGTGCAGAGTCTCTATATGAGTTTACAGTAGTCCGTCGGTCTTATTATACATCCATATTGTAGTCCGCTGTATAGAAAACTGTAGTTTCCATAGTTTCCCCACAGCAGCAGACGCAATTTATGACGTCCGCTGGCGCATCATAAACACGTCGGATAGTGAAAGTGCAGTCGGATTCTCTAAAGTACCGCAGTCTCTTCTCCTAAATCCTTTTGAATTCTCCTATCCACTATCCCTTAACCCCGTGACGTTTCACACAGAGGTCAAGGGATAGACGATAGGGATAGACGTTAGGAGCTGATTTTTGGACTATTCGACTGCAACCCAGCTATCCAGGCTAGACTTTCCAAGAGGTAAAAATGCTGCTGCTGGAGTACTGACTGGAACGAGTGTTGATATCATGTCTACCATATCCTCTTAAAATACTCTGTCCAACAATATCAGTATTGTGAAGAACATTTTTTCTTACGCTTATTAAATATAGCAGAAAACGTGCATTTTTGTACTCAGGAGGTGACTTTGACAGAGGATTACTCAAAAAGTACACAGTAAAAGTACTTCATATTACTTGTGGGTGTAGTTTAAAGGTAGGGTATGTAAGTTTGAAAAACCGGCTCGAGATACACTTTTTGTTATATTCCATGGAATGCTCTTAACATCCCGATAGCAATGAATATCTTAAGTGCTTTGACAAAAAATCCATTAAAAAATGTCATCTGTGGAAGCCGTAGTACTGTAAAAAGCACGACCAATCATTTTAGCCGGCCCGGCTAAAATAACTGGATGGCCTACCCAGTGGCGTTTTTATATGTACAAAAGTGGTGGGGCACAAAAAACTTAGATGTCTATATATAAGCTTCTGCAGTGACGTGCAGTGAGGTTCATGGCTGGTGAGGCACTGGCACTGACTCTTCAGGTTTACAAATATTATATTTTGACCTAAACCAAAATATAATATTATTTTCAAAAGCTTTTTTTGTCTGATGCTTCGATTAATTTTAAACAGACAGTTCAACAAAAGGATACCCAAAAAATGTCATTTTATCATTTAAATATTGAATTGTTCTCTCTTAGTAAGATCCCATTTTCAATAAAATGGCGGTCTTACCTTGACTTGAAGATGAAGTCCATTTGCCTATCCTTCTGGACAAACATTTCTATTACTTTTTTGTAAAAGTCCTCCTTATGTTCTTGTAGTTTCAAAAGTCTATCATAAATCTAATCCATAGATTTATGATAAAAAAATTATATAAGTAGGGTAGACATGTGGATGTTATCCGGCTAATCAAAACGTGCATTTATCTAACAGGTACGTTTCCCACAGATCTTATTTCGAGCTATTTTCTAAAATCCTCTGGAGAAATCTCATTGCTTTTTTGTGCTTACTTCCTGGTTTTAGGACGCGCCACTGCAGCTCTCTCGTCTCCTCTTCACACAGCACACTTTTCGCGGCACACGTACTTACAGCCAATCAGCTCTGAATGATTTGAGATGAGGTATGGTGGGGATGGTAGCTCCATGCCCCTCTGGTCATTATTTTTTTGCCACACACATTTCATTACAAAATACTCTGAGCATGCGCAGTGAAGTTTTTACAGTCACCGTTGACTTCACAGCGAGAGGAAGGGGCATAATCAGGTTTTGTCCCACATGGCTCTAAACAGCTCAATAGGCACACACTGTGACTGTAGACACAGTAATTAGAAGAACACAGACTAAAACAGCAATGTACAGACGAATCAGATGATTAAACATGATCTTAAAATATATTTTATATATTTTTTTATTTATTTTTTTGCATTTTTGTAATCATTATTTGTAATACTTTCTGCTGACACTAGGTGGGGCTGTGCCCCACCTGCCCCTAATGACCAGTCGCCACTGGGCCTACCTGCCTGTCAGCCTTCTATCTGTGCACAAACTTATCTCGTGCCCTCATTGGTCATGTGCGCGTTTGTGTGTGTTGGAGGAGGGGCTCTATAAGGAAGTGGCAGATTTTCTCCGGTCGTGTATTTTCAAATTCTAGCGATCTCGAGCCGGTTTCTCAAATTTACATACCCTACCTTTAATTAGTACTGAGTCCAACAATATCAACCTCATTAAGAACTTATGGCAAAACATATTTGATCCCTCATCAAAGATAGCAGAAAACATGCATTATTGTACTCAGGAGGAGAGTTTAACAGAGGATCACTCAATAAGTACACAATAAAAGTACTCTAAATAGTATTTATCAATCCTCAACCTCCAATCTGTTTTAATAAAGTTTTGAAGAAAAAACCCAGCTCGATGCTGACTCGACCACGCAAACGGGAAATACGACCGCAGTGTCAATTCAACAGTAACATCAAACTATACTCATACTTTATAAGATCATGGCTGACAGTGCAAGGCAGATAGACAGATCGTGAGACAGACAGACAGACAGACACAAAGACACACACACACACACACACACACACACACACACACACACACACACACACACACACACACACACACACACACAGAGGCAGACTGTCTTCTGTATGTTTTGCATGTAGCCATATATTCAATATATATTTGTGTTAACACGCCCTATCTAAAGGCAAATATTATGAACCTTTATTTTGAAGAGTACAGCGCAAACTAGCCAATCAGAAGCAAGGATGCACTGGAGACCCACGCCCTTATATGGGAACGAATCGAAACATTGAGTGGTATTCTTGTTTTAACCATGATGTATGGTTTTAACAGTAAGAACAGAAAAACGAAAACACGAGCTGAATTTCCGGTTGTTTTTTTTGGGGCAAAATTGAAAAACAATTGTTTCAAATATACCAATAAAAACAAACAGTCAAAACATACCTTCGTCGTCAGTGACATTCGATCTGCCTAACACGTGATGTGGGAGGCAGGCCGCAGGCAAAGCAAGTTATAAATGAAAGTGAAAGTATATTTGTACTAGAGAAGTCGTTGTTGCGTTCGAGCAGCAAGTAGATATTTCTACGAATAAATAATCATGTATTTAATCTTAAAGATATTGAGTTTCTTATATCTTTGTGCAGGTAAGTTATTTTCTTTCGCTTTTTTACATATTTTGGCTTGTTAATTAGCCCATAATGAATGAAATTACTATACTACGAAGTACTGTACTGTAGCCTACTAATTGTATTTTACCATATTACACATTACTAATATATAATACTAACAGTAAACTAAACTGCTATACATTCTTCTACTCTACTATGTATAGTATAAGTGATGGCTAATATGTTGATTATTCAGTATGTCTTGTTCACTTTTAGTTCAAATAAATTTTCTAAGAAACAATATTTCATTTATATTTTGTTAAATGTTAAAATTGCAATTGATTTGTTTGTTAAAAAAGCACTTAATACATTTGACAAATCATACAATGTTCATACGTCTCATCTCGTCCTGTGGTGTGACAGCATGTCCTGTGGTTTGACGTCACTTCAAATACAATTAAATGACTTTTCCTAATTTTAACTAACTTTAATTATTATGTGCATGTGAAAACATTGCACAATTTAAAGGTGGGATAAACCGGCTCGAGATACACTTTTTGTTATATTCCATGGAATGCTCTTAACATCCCGATAGCAATGAATATCTTAAGTGCTTTGACAAAAAATCCATAAAAAAATGTCATCTGTGGAAGCCGTAGTACTGTAAAAAGCACGACCAATCATTTTAGCCGGCGGCTAAAATAACTGGATGGCCTACCTGCCTGTCAGCCTTCCATCTGTGCACAAACTTATCTCGTGCCCTCATTGGTCCTGTGCGCGTTCGTGTGTGTTGGAGGAGGGGCTCTGTAAGGAAGTCTGAAGGAAGGGGCAGATTTTTTCCTGTTGTGTATTTTCAAATTCTAGCGCACTCGAGCTGGTTTCTCCAAAAATACCTACCCCACCTTTAACTATAAAAAAGAAAGCAGACATTTTCACAGGGCCGTCCCTGGCCAACTTGGGGCCCCAAGCGACATTGTGAGATGAGGCCCACCCTCCCCCCAACCGACAGGAGTGAAACAATTTTTTTTGGGAACAGTTACATTTTTATACAGTGAGGTAAATGGTAAATGTGCATGTATGTCGTTCAGTATGCGTTTACAGGTGAATACGTCTGAATTTCCTGCCAAATACTAGCCTCAAAAAGATTAAAATATAATTAATGCAAATAAACTACTTCTACTAATAATCATAATCATAATCAATTCAATAATATAAATACTATATTATTTTATTATAATATAGTTGTAATATAGTCATGACAAAACATGCTTATTACATGCTAAAAAACTGATATTTCTTATATCTGTATTCAAATGTAGTTCCCTCTGTCAGCAATGTATCAACAACTACACACACATTTCTATCAGTATTTCTCTGTGTTGTGGTTGACATAATGATGACTGTTAGGAGTTAAGGGGAGAGGCTGAGCATCACCATGAAATGTGCAAATTGACATAAAAAGGAATAAAAGGGGAAAAAATGCTCCATGTTTTTTAGGCTGTAAACTTGAACTGTTATGTAAGCCAACTAGACAGACAGTTTATCACTCTTCCTCCTGTACATTAGCAGATAAAAGGCATACAATACTTGAATGAATGGTAAATAAAGAATGCTGGAAATAACTGCATCTCCATTAGCCTATATGCTATGCAGAGACTGCCTTCTTCATGTCGTGAATTGCAGCTGATGTTTTAATATGGCAATTGAGAACTGCCCACAAGCCGAGCTCATAAGCCGAGGCCCCATGCAGCCTGCATGATCGGCCTGTAGGGAGGGACGGCCCTGCATTTTCATCAGGGTTTTTTTCATGTTTCAGTATATTTCCAACAATATATTGTTTCTTCATTTAAAACATTTAAGGTAACATTGTAACCCTTTTTTGTTTTGTGTCGTGAATCCTGGTACATGAAATTACTTACTCGCCAAGCCTGAGTATATCACTACATTATACTGAACTATATGTTTGTGAACTACACTGACTCCCTCTGTGTCTCTCAGGTGTGCAGTGTGTCCATCAGGTGTCATGGCTGCCCTGTCCGTTCACTGATGAACACGTGTTTAAGAATGAAGAGGGTCACACGGAGACTCAGCTCATCCACAGAGAGGCCCTGCTGCAGTTTGGTCAAATAGGAGATGCTGCTGTTAATCCACATGGAATCACTTTCCTGATTACTGGTAAGACCTGCAGCCTATTGAGTTACAGACTAAAATCTATTGTTTTCTAATGTAATCTTTTGTGTTGTAGTCTCTAAATTGGACCTGCGGCGATACTTGGAGGGAGTGGAGGCTGAGCAGTTGCAGTGTGAGCTGCGTAGGTACAGCACAGCGGGCATCCATGTTCGCTGGCCAGTGCTGGGGGCCCGGGAGTACAACCACTGGTTCACCTGCACCCTGAAACACACCAACGGCCTGTTCAGAATCACAGGCTTCCTCAGACACCCATCGGACAAAGCAGCCCCGGGACAGCAGGACTACAACAGCTGGACTCCCATCGGGGACAAAGAGATGCTCGTCACAACAAGTAACACTCAACACATGTCTTTCTATTCAATCATTTTGGGATGCAAAATTGTATTGTAAATTCACAAGTGAAAGTTTTGGTACAACTTTATTCATCAAGATCGTCATCATGGTAATGATGTTTATAGGACACTCTCATGGATCTTATGAGATCTGCTCGAAACGTCATGTTAGCAACCACTCAAAAGGTGGAGTTTTCACACAGTTAAAGAAAAACTTTACCCACAACATTTCTATTGGCTAGCACTCCTTACACATTGTACGTGATAAGCTAAGGGACGGGACCTCTTTAAGCGGTTGACCAATCGCAACAGAGCATGCCAGCTGACCAATCAGAGGATACTGGGCTCTGGTTTCAGACAGAGGGTGAAAACAGGTGTTGCAGCACAGGCAGAATGAGAAAAATCAAGAGCTTTCTGAACATTAAAGCATGTAAACATGTCACAGTAGAGGCACAAAACACAGATATGAATTATTATTGTTACCTTCAAATCCTCAAGGTTCAAGGTTCAAGGTTCTTTATTGTCAATCTGACATAGCTACAGAGTAATTATGCAGTTGAAAATCTTATGTCACAGGCTTCTCCAACAATGCAACATAATAACATAACATAATAACAATAAGAGCATGAGCAATACAAAAATAATAATAGTTATAAAAATGAAATAAAGTTATGATGTGGAATAGTGCAGTACGAGTCTATATACAAGTTATTGGAATGATATATATCCTGAGGGAAATGTTGTTCTTATTGCATGTCTTCTCGGTAAAAGAGAATCCACAATCAGAGAAAAAGTCCTGTGAGTGGAAGTGAATGAGGGCCGCAATTAATAAATTCAAAATTACTCAAAAGAATTCTTGCAGTGAACTCCAGGATTAGTACTGTGTTGATAACGTTTTGCTGAAGTTAAACGTTGTCCCCATTTACTCCAAATCATCAAACATTATCTTTGTTTTTTGATTATTTCGTCACCTTGAAGATATGCAAGATATAACACTTTTAACTTCTAATTTAACGTCAGTTCCATATTGAAATGTAATGCTGGCCATTTTTTGCTTTAAGAACTAAGTGTGTCTCTGTGTGCCTGTGTCTTGTCTCTTCCGTGTCCATAGCTGCCATGGTAATGAAAACACTAACTCCATCAGTGAGAGCAGGCCTAGGCTCCAAACAGAAGCTCCACTGCCAGTTTGCTGTCGACCACCATGGACCAAACTTTTATGTGGAGTGGCTCCTGCAGCAGCATGGAGAGAGAACCAGCCTCTTCAGTCACAGCAGCCGCTCAGTACAGAGCAAGGGGTCCGGGGTCGTACTTAGGAGCCTGGCAGACGGGGACGCTTCCTATAACCTTCCCTTCACCAAGTTGAGCAGTGAAGGGACGTACATCTGTTCAGTGTCCGTGCTTCCACTGTTCGTCAGTATGGATATTGTTCTGCAAATCGAAGGTAAGGAAGAGTCAAAGAGAGGATCAGACCAGACTGACATTTCTGGGCTATTAATAATGTGAGTTATAAAATGAACGTCTGTTTTTCTGTATGACAAAAAAGGATAAATGTGAAGAATCTTTCATAGTTAAAGAGTATCTGTTTCAGAAATAAGAAAACTTGCAACTTGCCAGCATTCTTTTAAAATGGATTCCAATGATGATTCAATGATTCCAATCCATGCCGTCGGTAGCGAGTGCTTCACCTTGTTTGTGTGTCCCTTCCGAGCGCTTCGAGTGTCAAATATTTCAACTTTTCAGTGAAAGCACTAGTGACGTCACCGTAGTAATTGGTAGGGAAGCCTGTTTTGGACTGTTTTTGTCACAGGGATAAATAATATATATAATAATAAAAACAATGTGACAATGACTTAAGAAGAGAGGGAATTTACAGTGACAGACAAAACTAAGTTACAATGAAATACCTGTGCTGCCTGCTTTGCTTGTATGTTTCTTCTAGGCTAGCTGTTTCAAGTGATGTGCTAAGCTAACAGTTTTATTCACACCAGTTTATATTAAATGTACAAACATGGTATTGACACTGAATTCAGTGGTGCAAGAATGAGTCCTAAAACCCGGTTTCATCCTCTCGAAGTCAACGTTTTTTTTATTGTGTTACTTTGTAGTTAGAAACATCACAAGGTTTTGGCTAGCTTACAGTATTTTCCAGTTATGTTCTAAAACATAAAATACTTCAGAAAATAAAATACTCAACTCATGAATATTGAAAGCTATGTGTCTTGAAAACGGCGGTTGCTAATCAGTGACTAAATGAGACTACTAAACCTCATCACGCTGACACGAGTCCTCCTTTAGCTTAGCGGTGGTGATGTGCAGCCATGCGACCCTGATGTACAGTAGTTTGTGAATAGCATGACGTTAGCTTTTTACTTCTGGCGATTGCTTTATGCTGAAAAAATCACAAAGTGGTGTTAATATATGGAGATTATCCTGCTAAACAAAACGTATTAAGTATCATAAACCAGGGTTGCCAACTTTGGGTACCTGGCTGGAGTGAGATTTTGATGTCATGGGTTTAATTCGGTTTAATTACACATATGCGCACGAAATGACTGCTATCGTGTCAGCAGCGGGACCTTAGCATATAGGATATATATATACAATATATACAAATACACAATAATGGACACAGACTATAAAGGGCACACAGTTTCATTCACTAATGAAAGTCAAACATGTTTGTTTCCACTGTTTTATTGTGTGCCTTGTGTGAACTCGATAACTTTTCTGACCTCGAGAAATTGCCATTTACATGAGGATGTGACTAGCAGTTTGAAAGGATGTACTTGAAATATTATTATATATTATCATTATGTCAGTGGTCTAAAATGGTCATACAACGGTGCCGACAATATTATCGTTTATCGCCTAGTACAGTGCTTCTCAAACCTTTTTCCGTAATGTACCCCCTCTGAAACATTTTCTCAGCCAAGTACCCCCTGACCGACCCCGAACATTTTTGATAGAAAAAGCCTATATAAATAATTACAATATAGTGATGTTCCATCAGTGTGTGATTTATGAACTCCTTCATCCATGAATTACAACAAACAAAGAACATAACGACAGATTTTTAAGTAATAATTATATGTTTAATGAACCAATGAACAAAATGTTATATTATGCAAAAACTATAAAATACAATAAACAAATATTATAATAAAATGTGGTGCCTGATGTGCTACCATCCAAAACCCCATGCATAAACAAGAAAACAGCATTAAATAAGCAGTCACAATGCATGAAAGGGTTAAAAACAAAACATTGTAACAAAAATGTGCAATTACAATAAAAACTACGTAATAACACTGCAATGACACTATTAATGAGTTTTAGGTGCATTAAACTGCATTTGAAAATAGAAAATACAATTTAGTGTCAAAACATTGGCAAAAAAACTAAACAATTGTAATAATAAATAAATTATAAATTGCAATAACACTAACAAGTAACAATAAGAGCACTTTAGCACTCAATTTAGTGTGAAACGTGTGCTTGTCCTTCACTGAGCATCTTGGTCATCCTTGGTGGCAGAGAGGACACAGCAGTGATCAGACTCTTTTCCAGGCCCAGTCTATTTCTCTGCTTTGTTTTGATCAGAGTCATTGCAGAGAAGGAGGCCTCACACAAATAGGTGGATCCAAAGGGCAGTAGCTGCTCCAAAGCTGTTTTCCCAGCTCAGGATGCTCCTTTTTCACACACACCCAAAACTGCGTGAGAGTGGAGTTTTCAAATGTCATCTTTAGGCCGCGGTCAGATGACACATCCAAGAGTTTTTCCTGGTGACAGAGAGGAAGCTTTTCTCTGTTTGCTTCTGACAGAAGAAATGGGTTTCTTACCCAATCAAGCTGTGCAGGTTTATCCTCCATGTCAGGAAAGTACGACTTGAAACTAACTATCAGGTTGGCCAAGTGTTCCTCTATAATGGACTTGACTGGAGCGCTCTGCACATCCTCACTGGAGAGGAAAGCATCTACCTGAGGAAAGCAGGTGAGATCCCCCTGTGCACATGCCCGTTTCCACAACTCTGCTTTCTTTACGAAACCACCCACCTTGTCATACAGGTTCAGAATGTTGGTGTTCTTTCCCTGCATGCACACATTCAGCTCATTCAATTTGCTGAATATGTCTGCCAGATAGCAAAGCTTTGCAAGCCAATCTGTGTCCTCAAACAGTGTGGCATAGGGAGATCCTTGCTCTGACAGAAAGGTGTGCACCTCCGATCGTAGCTCCAACAGCCTGCTCAGTATCCTCCCCCGAGAGAGCCAGCGCACTTCTGTGTGTAGCAGTAGTTGGGTGTGTTCAGCTCCCATGTCCTCGCAAAGGCGGTGAAACAGATGCGCATTGAGTGGCCTTGACTTTATGAAGTTAATCCCTTTGATGCTGTTGTTCAAAACGTCATGCAACACAGGACTCAGCTTTTTGGCCGCCAGTGCTTCCCTGTGTATGACACAGTGATTCCACTGCACTTCTGGATTTTTATCCCTAATACGTGCCATGAGCCCTTTAAATCGGCCCGTCACTGAGGCAGCTCTGTCAGTACAGACACTCATGCAGTTTCTCCAGTCCAGCTCGTTTTCAATAAAGAAATCATTCACAACATTAAAAATGTCCTCCCCCGTTGTTTTCCCTTCTAAGGTCTTGCAGAAAAGCACATTTTCATAAATGTCGTCAGTATCCACGTATCTCACGAAAGCAATGAGCTGAGCCTTACCGCTGACATCGGTCGATTCATCAAGCTAGAGTGAAAATGTTTCGCCAAGTTTTCCCACAACTTGTTCAACAATATCTGCTCCCATTCGTTCTATTCTGCGTGAAACGGTGTCATTAGAAAGAGGCACCATTTTGAACTTCTCCTTGCACTTCTGTCCAGCATCGTCTCCGCCAAAACAACAGCAGCTGGGAGTAACAGGTCCTCAGCGATCGTGAACGGCTTTTTGGCCTTAGCGATGAGCAGTGATACCGCATACGATGCCTCCAGTGCTTTGGCTGATGTTGTGGAGGCTTTTCGCATAATCTCTTGGGAGGATCTATACTCAGCAAGTTTTCTTTTGAAAAACTCCGGTGGCTTACCAACGTGACGCAGGTGTTTGGTGCTGAGATGTCTCTGGAGGTGCGCTGGTTTCATTGAGCTGTTGGCTCCTTACGTCGGAGGGGGCGAGAATAACCTGAGCAATAACAGTTAATGGCGAGTACGGCAAATACAAGTTGTACCAAGCATAAGCAAAAAAGCATTTTTTTTATTAACCTTTTTTATTGTTTTCTCTCGCGTACCCCTGCAGTACCCCCACGTACCCCTAGGGGTCCGCGTACCCCCATTTGAGAATCACTGGCCTAGTAGAACAATAAGCAGCAGACTTTTACTTTTTTATCATTTCTACTGGATCTTAGATCTGCGCATGCGCAATACGGGTCGGCAGTTGCGGCTCCAGAGTATTTTTGTTGGGTAATCTAGCGTGTGCTTGTCGCCGTCCAGTCCTTTTGTTAAGGCTTCTTAACCCCCTCCGAATCAGCATTGCTATTGCATTTGAATGGTCGATCTGTATTTGTGGCTGAGTTATTGGCTTAAATAACTCAGTTACGAAGCTGTGTAACACGAGCACCAAAACCACAACTTCAGTCAACTCCATAGCGTGTCTGACTGAGGTCGGAAGGTAAACAGAAGCATACAGCGGAAGCGGAAGTTTTTTTATTTTCTTCTTCTTCTCTCGATTTTTTGGCGGATTGCAACTTTAAGGTGCATACCGCCACCTACTGTACTCGCCGTGAAGTTGTTTGCGGCCTGCCAGTAAACCCAAAGCAGAAGAAGAAGAAGTGACGTCAGCGGCTCATTTGCCTAATCCACCCCCAGGAACTCATTTTGGTGTGAACGCGATCTGCTTTAGTTCATCAGAACTAAAAGAACTCTCATGAACTAAAGTTCTCATGAACTACTGTGGGAAAAGTACTTGGTGTGAACGCCCCATATGGTAGGCTAACCCATACAGTGGTGGGGCTCAAGTCAGTATTTGCAATGTAATTACATACACGCTCCCCCCGACAGTGAAACGCCACGCGTGAGGTTTAGATTATTTCCCTGTTTCAATCCAAATTGAACTGTATGAAATAAAAAGGCACATTTGTCTTGTAGTAAATAAAAAGGGCGACCTGGAGCCAATCCTGCAATTTCCCCACAGGTGAAAGAGTTCACATGCTGAAAACCCAACCCCTGCAGGGGGGTCTGGAGGGATTCTCCCCCAGGAGATTTTTTAAAATACTAACATAAAATACACATTCTGGTACTCTCTTGAGAAGAAAAATTAATAAATCTATTACTACACGACATATTTAAAAAAATGAATGCCATTTTAGTTTTTTGTTACTTTGTTCTGAAAGCTGAACCTGCTGCTCCTCACAGAGAGCAGAGGGAAGAGGCTGTGTGAATTACTTTACATTGTGGATAAGGGTGGATAGCCCCCATTGTTCTGTGTGTCAAAATGAAAGACAGCCCACACACCTATCAATCATCAAACCGTGGGGTCTTATTTCATTACGTGTTGATTTCTATCAACACATAATGTTGTATCGATGTATAGAGATGTACTACCGCAAAAGTATTCTCCGTCGGGACTTCCTGCAACAACTCCACGCCGTTATCGTGATTCTGATTGGCCAGAAGACATTATCAAAGATGTTCTATTGAGAAGACGATCACTACGTGACAAAAGTTTTCAAAACCGTTTCTAGTCTTCGGTATTCTTGTTTTTGGCGTGAGAATAGTTTGGGCAGCGTGAGAGCGTGAGATTGAGAGTGAAAGCGTGTGTCACACGCCAGATGCGTGAGAGTTGGCAACCCTGCATAAACGTGCATTTGCCTCAGATCTTATTCTCTGCAATACACCAAAATCCGAAAACAATCCGATGCTTTTTGTCAAAGGAGCCCTTGCGATGCTAACTTTCGAGTCGGCCTATAAAATCACGTCATCCCTGCACCACTCTATTGAAGTAACTGTACCACCTAAAACATACTTGCTTTTGCACACAGGATTGGCAGCTGGAGTCAAACTCATAATGGAACCCTTTTGCTGAGAGGATCTGACTTTATTCTCTCCTCTCCTCAGAGGCTCCCAGGGTCTCCCTCAACGTTGGACCCACTCTGACACTGCTGGAGGGCGGGGAGCAGAGGGTGACATGTGAGGCAGACAGTTACTACCCTCTGGATGTGGAGATCGGGTGGTACATGCAGGACCCGGCGGTGGCGGGACAGAGGGTGGGCGCTCCTCTCCCCGAGAAGCTCCAGAACGTTCTGCTGTCCAGCCACAAACACAACAACGACAAGACGTACTCGCTGACGGCCTTCTTCTACCTGCAGGCTGCACTCAAGCACTCAGGAAGGGAGTTCACATGCAGAGTATCCCATAAGTCCCTGAGGGTGCCCATCAAAAAGAGCTTCACCCTGACTGTGGAGGGTGAGTGGAGGAGGGCTGAGTTAATAAGCTTATTAGGTTTATTTGTAATGATGATATTGATTATGAAACAAGACAATCCGGATAAAACGATTATTGTGCCACATTTTGTTTTAATCACACAAATTTTAGTTGTGTTTTTAATCCAGCGTATCGCCCCTTTCCTTTACAGTTGTGCCCTTACACCAGAATTATCTTTTTTAATGAAAAAACAAAAAATATATTTATTTTATTCAATAAATAAATATTTTGTATCCTTAAGAAAATACAATATATTTATTTAAATATGTACATATACGTACATTGTCAAACATATACACATTTTTTTGTATATATATATATTTTATCTCCACATCATGTATGTATATATATATATTCAAATAAATAATGTATGTATATAAATATATATTCAAGAAAATCCACCTTATATTTGCAAAGTCAATTAACAATAGGTCAATATGTCGATTTTTCAATCAGTCAATATTGACCAAAATATTTGTTATGACTTCTGCCATAATGTAGCAGCAATAGGACCATAACGCACTAGTAACACCTAATACACTGCAGTTCTGTGAGCTACCACTGAACAGCAGCAGAAGAGCATATCTAACACTAGATTCAAGATTCAATGCAAGGCTTCATTGTCATGTGCACAGTAGCTACAGTGTAGATATGGCAATGGAAATCTTAAGTACCAGACTCCTCCAACAATGCTACATAATATATGTAGGACATATAAAACCAATAAAATAGTAATGTTTATTTTATTCAGAATACCTTTATTCGTCCCACAGAGGAGAAATGTACACCTGTTCCAGCAAAGAGCCAAAGATATCTTAATATCTCTCAAGAAGCATGCATAAAAAAAAAAATAAAGATAAAAAACTAGAAATTACACAATTTACAAGATACACATCCAGTACCAATAACAGTTAAGGGATATAGCAGCCAGGTGAAAGTATAAAAGATGGTAGTATAAATTGCACAGCTATTTACGGTATATATATATATATATATATATATATTGCACATAAGTAGTATTGCACAACAGGAGTGTTAGTTAGATAGTATGTGTTGTTATATGTGTGTGGGGTCTACCAGGGTCTGTGGTGGTTTTAAAGTCTGACCGCTATAGACTGTATACATTTATATAAAGGTCATGTTGGTTTTCTGTTTTCTCCTCAGAGCCAACCGGCTGGATGCTTTTCATTGTCATCTCGCTGCTGCTCACCCTGTGTGTGATGCTGTGTTACCTGCACTCAGGTGAGTGTGGGGTCCCTCAGACAAAGTCATTGAAATGAGCTCCGCCTTACCTTTATTAGCGGCAAAAGGAATAAACATATTAATGCATCAATAAACGTATTCCATCAATGTGATATGTACTATTCTGAAAAGGACCATTCTGCATACCATTGTACTTTTACTTAAACATGAATGCAGGACAGGCTATTTCTTTCCACCACTGTTGATGCCTGAAAAAATGACTGTCATTTATTTTCTCCACAGCAAGAAGAAAAGCATGACAGGTAGGATGATCTTATAACAAAACATGTTTTGTTCCCACTGTTTAAAGGGTTAATGTGTTTAGACAAAACCACAGAAAAGACCCAAACCAGACATGGTAGCGACGTGTCAATCATAAGTTAGCCATGCCTAAAAGGTCCCCTATTATGCTCTTTTTCAACACTATATTATAGTTCTCAGTTATATACAAAACATGTTTCTGAATTGTTTGGCTCAAAGTACCAAACAGATCATGCATTGTTGCTATAATCCCCTCTGTTTCAGCCCTGTTTCAAAAGTGCTGATTCTGTGTCTGTAGCTTAAAAATATAATGAGCTGCTGCTGGCCACGCCCCTTTGTGAATTAATTGGTTAAAAAAACATAATAGCGCTCTAAGAGGAGATTCAGGTGATAAGGTGGGCGGGTGTTACCTTGGTTGGTTATTGGCTAATTGTTGCACAACCCAAACATCTGTTGTGATGTCACAACATTGCCAAATCTGATCAGCTAATTATCAGACAGGAAACCAACATCATTCTGTGTTGAAGACTTTAAACTATAATTGAGACCATAATCACAACAGTTAAATATTTCCTGAAATAATAAATCATGTGAGAAGTAAAATTATTTTCCTATAGACTTTTATACAATCTGATTTTTTTCTTTGTGTGTGTATCGAGCAGAACCGACTATACTGAGCAGCAGCCTTGGAAGAGTGAGCAGATGAAGCGGTAACGGCGAACCTCCTACCTCGTCAGTTTGTTTCAGAGACTCATTTGATTGGTGTGTGTGTGTGTGTATGTTTTATGGTGAAGGTTTGTTTTTGTTGTTGCATAGATTTTGCTCATGCTAAAAAAGCTTGATATTGAATGATCAAACAGGGGAAAATGCAACAGTTTACGGGTTCATGCATAGTAGTAGTAGTTTAATAGAGCAACGTTTGTTGATGCACATGCAAAGTTCTGTACACAGGCAGCACAGCAAGCAAATACTCCAATACTGAAGGACAGCAAACATGGATGTAAATAAAACACGATTTGAAGAATTAAATAAATAATGAAACTCTGAGAAGGTAAATATATTCAACACATTTGTTAGACTTCACACTTATTGAGAAATACTGAATCTAACTATATTTGGGCACATAGGACTACAGTGTTTTATCTATATTGTTCATTTTCCACCCATCCATCTTCTCCCACTTATCCGTGGTCGGGTCGCGGAAGTAGCTGTTCCAGCAGAGAGCCCCAAACCTCCCTTTCCCCGGCCACATCATCCAGCTCTGACTGGGGGATTCCAAGGTGCTCCCAGGCCAGCGAAGAGATATAATCCCTCCACCTGGTCCTCGGTCTACCCCTCGGTCTCCTCCCAGCCTGGAACACCTCCCTAGGGTGGCATCCTTACTAGGTGCCCGAACCACCTCAACTGGCTCATTTCAACGCGAAGGAGGAGCGGTTCTGCTCTGAGTCCCTCCCGGATGACTGAACTTCTCACCTTATCCCTAAGGGAGATGCCAGCTACCCTGCGGAGAAAACCCATCTCGGCCGCTTGTATCCGCGATCTCGTTCTTTCGGTCATGACCCATCCTTCATGACCATAGGTGAGGGTAGGAACGAAAATGGCCAGGTAGACAGAGAGCTTTGCCTTCTGGCTCAGCTCTCTTTTCGTCACAACGGTGCGGTAAAGCGACTGCAGTACCGCTCCCGCTGCTCCGATTCTCCGGCCCATCTCACGCTCCATTGTTCCCTCCCTCGAGACCAAGACCCCGAGATACTTGAACTCCTTCGCTTGGGGTAAGGACTCATTCCCTACTTGGAGTGGACAGTCCATCGGTTTCCTGCTGAGAACCATGGCCTCAGATTTGGAGGTGCTGATCCTCATCCCAGCCGCTTCACTCTCGGCTGTGAACTGATCCAGTGAGTGCTGAAGGTCGCAGACCGATGAAGCCATTAGAACCACATCATCTGCAAAAAGCAGTGGTGCAATCCATAGCCCACCGAACTGCAGTTGCATTGTTCATTTTATTTTATTGAATATAAGTGTGTACTCAAAAACGAAATGTAGTATACAACAGAAAATCTCTGTTACCTCAGAAACAACAAGGAGCCCTATCAAGTAACATGTATCCACTGTATGAACAAGATGAATATCAAAGATATGCACACAGTGTAAATACAATATTTCTTATTGAAGGCATTTAATAAACACGATGGTACTTTGAGTGTGATTCTTCATGTGATCCAAAAACGTTAACGTTTTTTTGGTACTGGAACAAGCCCAACATATATCTGCACCAGATAGTTCATTTTATGGAAAAATGATTCCATGTGTGAGCTGCTTCCCTGCGATTAATAAACATAAGATGTTTCATGTGATTTTAAATGTTCCTTTGAAACTTGACACTTCACTGTAAGTAAGACAGCCGCTCGATTTTGATCACTTTAGCAAACAACTTCTCCAGAATTAGCTCTTACGGGCATTTTCAAGTGTAATTCTTGAAACATCAGCTTTCTCTCAAAGGAAAAAAATTTACGAAAATGTTCAATTTTCAGTGTTTGGCCGTTTTTGTTTTTCTAAAATGTCTTCTTTCATTCTGCTATATTAAAAAGGAAACATAAAAAAATCAAATGTTGGTGTATTTGACTTACTTTGTCTATTTGCATCCCTAGATTTCTCCATAAATTCACGCAAGGTTATTATTAGATCATTACATATTTAAACTTAACAGTAATACAACAAATTATTGTCGCAAGTAATCAAGTGAGGAAGCTTCATATTGTTATGTATTAGTTACATTTATTTACCTTTTATTTTAAGACATTTAACAACACATTAAAAACTTTAAATCCTGTTATATCTCTCACAGGCTCCGCCCTCTACTGGACTCTATGGGTACTACCCTCAATCATGCTATGCGAGTATTCACCTTCTGAGATATCTATAAACATAGCCGGCCCCTCGGGGCGGGCCTACCTGAATGCGCGCGCAAGCCCACCGTATATAAGGCGGCCACGCCTCCTGACTGTCATCCTTTTCTCTTCAGCGAGCGAGCAACAACTGAAGCAGAGAAAGTAAAACGTTTGAAAGAAGAGAAAGAGTTATCATACCTTCAAGGAGTCGCCACTTCGAGAGACCCGGGCCTGTCCTTCGTGCCCTGGCTTAATAGCGGGCGCCGATCCCCACCACCTCTGCTTCGAGTGTTTGGGGGACCAGGATATGGCCGAGGCGGTGCCATTCACGTTCGCCATTCACGTTCGCCATTCACGTTCGCCATTCCAGCGGGGCGGATGGCTCCATTTGCCGGGGAGGAGGATGACGAGGACTTCTCGTTGTCGGGCACTTCCGGGTCCGGCGTCCATGGAAGTCCACCGCCCAGGTCTGTACTTCCCCCTAGGTGATGACCATGGCGGCGGAACGTGGCAGCCCATCTGCTCCCAGCAGGCAGCAGGCTGGGCAGAGAGCCTCTGCCCCGCTGCCACATGACAGGGCGGCTGCAAATAAACACGGGTGTGTTGGGCGTCTCGATCATTGCTCTTCCGCAAGATGCCCCCACCTCACCAGATCAGAGCGATTATTTGGCCGCAGCATCGGCCGAATTAATAGCTTGGTCTACGGTGATGATCTCCTGGGAGCCCCCGTGTATACGGAAGGGCTCTTTGGATCGAATGCCTTGGTCATGTGGATGGGGAGTAGTCGCAGGTTGGCGTATGCTGCTTCTTGCTCATCCTCAGAGGAAAGAACACTGTCCCACACTCGCCGCCCCGCTGTAAACTCCAGTAAAGGAAACAGCAGGTGGGCGCGCAAGTGAGTGGAATAAACCGCAGAAAGTGCTGTCAAAGCACTGTGCGGGTTCAAGAGACGCTATTGCCGGTGTGCTGTTGTCAGAAAACACACCTTGCCTGGTATAATAGCTCCGATTAATGCGTTTCACTGTTGAATGTGAAACACAGCATTAATACGAAGGTGCGTTCAAGGACCTCTGCAGAAGAACGGTGGGTTACGTATTGTAACCCTAGTTCTAGAGGGATGTGTGTGTGAAAAATGTATTCAGTAAAAATGATTGCATTTATCCCAGAGTAAGAGTCATCTCTCTCCACAATCCCACATTTCCCAATAATGTCCGTTTCAAAGAGGCGGCATTATGACAGAGCCGCGGCACCAAGAGCGTGCCGCAGTGCATTCAAGGACCTCAGTAGAAAATCGGCCCCTTCTGTGGGCCAAACTTCCTGTTATGGAAGGTTTGGCAGCGGAGTAGGCCACCAGAGAGTATTACAGCTTCTTAGCTGCGGCTCCACAGCTGCTTGCATGTCCCCTAAACACAGTTTTATGGGGAATAGAAGCTCAGCTGTGTACTGACAGAATGGATAGACAGGACACTGAAACTGGGGTACTCACTCCAGTTTTGCAGCGTCCCTCCTCCATTCAGGCAAATCTATCATCCAGGAGGAGATAGGTTTCCTTTCAACAGTGTGCACTCTCAGGACAGAGAAAAGGGGCTTTACTCCATGTACTTCCTGGTTCCCAAGAAGACAGGAGAATTCAGACCCATTCTGGATCTTCGCAGCCTGAATCAGCACATTGCCTGTGAAAAGTTCCATGTGTAAGCCAATTACTGGAACTACGGCAGCCGGGCGATTGGTTCACAACCATCGACCTGAAGGACGCTTACTTTCATGTCGAAAATTGCTCCAAAGCACAGAAAGTATTTGCGTTTTGCCTTCCAGGGGGGTAGCCTACGAGTACAACAGACTACCGTTTGGCTACTCCCTATCCCCACGCACGTTCAGCAAATTCAGCTTCGCGACCATGGCATGAGGGTTTTGTAATACGACCTCATTGTCATGGCCAGGTCCAGGGAAGAGGCAAACACAGCCCAATTGATCCAAGTGGATTGCGGTCAATTGGAAGAAGAGCAGTCCCATACCTCACCAGCAGGTGGGGTATCTGGGGATTTTTGCTCGATGCAGGCAGACTACGTGCCACCCTGTCAGACAGGCATCCCTGCTTCAGGCAGTTTGCAGACTGTGACAGGGGGCAACGGTGACAGCTTTGACCATCATGCAGACTCTGGGTCTCATGGCGGCTGCTCACCTCGTGGTACCGCTGGGGTTACTTACTCGCCTGCAGAGGTGGTTTTCCGGCCTTCGTTTAGATCCCAAAAGGCACAAACGACGCCTGGTGACCATCCCCCTCCCTCAGTGGAGGGCAACCTCCGATACTGGGGGTCCCCAAAGCATCTGCGGAGGGGAACTCCGCTAGGGCGGGTGACCTCCTATGTCACGGTGTTCAAGATGCATCCGTGACAGGATGGGGGGGGACCTGCCTAGAGAGAGCTATAGGTGGTGGCTGGCCTCTGACAGAAACTCGGCACATCAACTTTCTAGAGCTACGGGCATTAGTACTGCTCCTACAGCACTGCAAACCCTTACTACAGGGCAAACATGTGCTGGTGAGGAGCGACAAACGCACCACAGTGGCTTACATCAACAGGCAGGATGGAGTACAGACCTGGGCGGTGGACTTCCATGGACGCCGGACCCGGAAGTGCCCGACAATGAGAAGTCCTCGTCATCCTCCTCCCTGGCAAACGGAGCCATCCGCCCCGCTGGAATGGCGAACGTGAATGGCACCGCCTCGGCCATATCCTGGTCCCCCAAACACTCGAAGCAGAGGTGGTGGGGATCGGCGCCCGCTATTAAGCCAGGGCACGAAGGACAGGCCCGGGTCTCTCGAAGTGGCGACTCCTTGAAGGTATGATAACTCTTTCTCTTCTTTCAAACGTTTTACTTTCTCTGCTTCAGTTGTTGCTCGCTCGCTGAAGAGAAAAGGATGACAGTCAGGAGGCGTGGCCGCCTTATATACGGTGGGCTTGCGCGCGCATTCAGGTAGGCCCGCCCCGCTACATTTATAGATATCTCAGTAGGTGAATACTCGCATATGATTGAGGGTAGTACCCATAGAGTCCAGTAGAGGGCTCCGCCTGTGCTTATATAACTAGGGTTACAATACGTAACCCCCCGTTTTCTCAATCTGATACATTTTTCTCATATTGTGATCCAAAAATCTCCACTTTAGTGGCACTTACATATATACACATTTCGAGTTTCATTATCTCTCTATCTACAGTATATGCGTAAAGCCTTTACAGAGGGTTCATATATCATTCATTGCCTGATTAAAGTCATATTTTTGTCGTAAAACATGGTGATTTATTTTAATGGCTAGCGATAGTATTTTCTTATTTAATGGCGTGATACAAAGAGATATCCAAAGTTAATTCCTTCCTTAAAAACCTTTGTGCAGTCTTCCGATTTGGGAATGTATGGAAATGTTATATATTTAATGAGATAAAGCTTAACATATTAAAAATATATTTAGATTTTGTTAATGTCATTGTCATTGTACCTGTACAATGATAAGAAATGAACTTAACTCAATGATAATACTTGTATTATAATACGATAATAATCGTCTCAATGTAAGTACAGTAATCAACTGGGTTGGTTTCATGGTGATATCTATCTGTATCTTTATCCTATTCACCTGTAGTTTCTCTCCTTAAACCTATATTGAACTTCAAACATACAAGTTAAATGTAAACTTCTTGTAAAATTGTAAAAACACAGAACACACACACAAAAAAAGAACATGCTCGTAAGACTTGCTGAGCCTCACTGATCGTAAATATGTCAGCCGTCAGCTTTGAAGTGGACTGATGAAGACGAGCCTCCACAGAGAGGACACCTAAACTGGTCAGTCTGAGTCCATTTACAGGGATAAACAGAGCTTTACTCAGACTGAGACCAGATGTGTTTGTGTGTGAGCTGCCTGTGCCCTAAGGGGGCAGTGTGTGTGTTTTTTGTGTGTGTGGGGCCCAGGTTTTATCACAAACAGAGTAGAGCAGCACTACTGAGAACGGAAAAAAAGCTTTAAAAATGTTTGACCTTTGATGTTTTTTATGGAATTGCCATGGCAAAATAGAAAAAAAATAAAAATCTAACTCTAAAAATGTACACACAGCTGCCCAACAGATTCCCTAAGGATGTCTCGATCTGAGTCCTTCAATTTTCTTGTCCTGGAGGGGCCCTATTATATTCATTTTCAGGTTTATCAATTGTATTTTTAGCCTATAATGTGAATGTTCAAAAGGGTCTTTATTTGTGTGTGAGAGAAAACACACCCTCTGGACGGAACTTTGGGATTTTAGCCTTTGCAGACCATTTACATGCACAAAAACCTATATAACACACTCCAGGAAAGGGAAAACCCCAAAAAGCTTATTAATAGGGCCCCTTTAACGGGTAACTGATTAATAAATATGGATCTGAAACATTGGGATAAGAGCTGTAGCCTTCTAAACATGACACACCCTATTTCTCACAAGCTGTTTGATCGTAATCTGAAGTTCCTGATTAAAAACCATAAAGTTGAAACACTTAAATTATTGATACAATATTACAGAAGGTTTAATTGGAAGTCTGCAACTCCTGAAAGCTAAGCTACGCAAGGCGTTCAGACGGAGAGGGCCTACAAAATACTCATGGTTGTGGTGTAAAGCTTCTTCCGATACAAACAATCCGCTGTTTCAGAAACATTTGGCTGATCTTACACATTACATACATCATTAATATT